GCATGGACTGCTTGATGAGCTGCGGGAGGCAGGGCGCTGAGCGGCGCCGGGACGGGCCCTGCCGCCGGACGAGCCCCCGGCGCCCGGCCCGCGCTCGCACCTTCTCGAAGTTCAGGTCCCGCTTGCGGGGGACGTCCAGAGCCGGGAAGAGGTCTCCGATGAGCCCCATGAACACGGGCAGGTCGTCCGTCACGATCTTGGGGATGTTGAAGTCTCGCAGGGCCCTCATGAGGACCTGGTCCTCCGCGCGGCCGGGGCGGCCTCTCTTCAAGGAGCCGGCTACCACCAGCACGGACTTGATGGCCCGCAGCCCCCAGTCGTAATGGTCCTGTCACACGGGCAGCAACACGAGGGAATTGCATTTTGGTGCAAGAGAAGTGCTTTAAGCAAAAGCCTTGAAGGATTCCCCCAAGCCCAGGCTGTCCATGCAGCGCAGGAGCTCATCTCGGAGCGAGCTGATTTACAGGACAAACCCCGTTCAGCCCGGAGATGAATGGGAGCCTCTCGCGTTTCCAGGGAAGCACATTTCTATTTGCCTATAAATCTCTTATGCTGAAATGAGCAACATCTGGACACTCTCATCCTAATGGGCTGTATTCTGTTCTATTTTTGCATGCCATTATGGCTTTCAGAAATTTGCCATATGATGCACCAGCAGGGAGGTGGAAGTTGTCCAGCCGAGCGCGAGCCAGCACGTTAGCACCAGCTGGGAGGTTTTTAAACCTCTACAGAGTTCTGAATTCAGATTAACTCTTTCATCTTAAATAACTACGGAATAGTGCTAAATTACCTGTTTGGACAGTAGCTCTTTGCACAGTGTGTACAGAGTAATAAACTTTCTTGCTAGAAGCTTAGCATCAATAAAACCTTCTGCAACAAGCATGATTTCACAGATAAGCTCGAAGTCTGGGACGACCATGGCACAGGGTCTGCAGGAGGGCAGGGAGGGTCAGCAGTGCCTGTGCACAGCAGCGCGTGTCCCCTCGCCCTCCTGCAGGCACAAAAGCTGCATCTGGGTTTTCCATGCAAATCCTAGAGGGCTCCTGTTAGCATGAGGCTGGGCTCTCATGGTGCTCTGCATGGAGCAACCTCCTGCTCCAAGTGGGAGTGTTTTGGAGCCACACCAGGTCACTCTGGGTCTTTTACAGCTTTCCCCTCCCTCCTCCAAGGAGAACCTGGCTCCGGCCTCCCCAGCAGCCGCACTGGGAGCGGGTGCCTGGATGTCCTGGTGTGCGGATGGAACGGAGTTGCCCTGCTCGGGTCATGCCAGGGCTCTGAGCATGTGTGCCCCGTGCCCAGGTCCTTCTCACAGCAGTGCCACACGCACACCTTGACCCAAGCAGAGCAACGCTATGGGATGCAGCACACGGGTGCAAGTCACAGTAACGGTTGCCAGCCAGTTGGGGACCCACCATACCTGAACAGAGCTTTTAAATTCTCCGGCAGCTCTGTCCGTCCCGCGTAGCCAGGATTCATGGTGATGAACAGCCCAACTGACGGGATTAGAGAGATCATCTCCCCCAGGAAATTGAACTTTTTCTTCTTGGCGCGGATGGCGTCCTGGACACACTTCACCTGGGCGGGCAGCGGTGTCGGCGCGGGTGCTCCCGGCTCGACCG